AGCTGTCCTGTAAGACTGGGCAGGATTCTGTGTGTCTTATTGTCTTTCGAGCTGTCCTGTGAGACCTGGCAGGTGTATTCCTAGTGGTCAGACCTCTGAAGAGGCCACAGCAGGTCTGTTGGTCAGTGCCTCTGCTCCAGCGTGTTTCAAGTGCTCCGGGCTGCATAGCTGCCTGGCCACCTGCAGCACAGTTTGACACAACACAGCGCAGCTCCTCATGAATAAAGAACACCATCAAAGTGCAGAAGAATGTTCTGCACAGAAAAGAAGTATCCGTGCACGTAAATATTTCAGAGCTTCTATACACAAGGCAACACAAGTTACTCCTGTTATAGACGAGAGGGGATGGTAACTTGGGGTGCATGTTTGATTATTCATCAGCAAGACCTCTGAGATTAAGGAAGCGGAATACAAAAGTTAAATGCTTCAGGTTTCTCAAGCGCTGCGCTGTGCTGTGTGTGTGGAGCGCCGCAGCTCGTGATTTTCACGCGGGGATCTGACAAGCTCTCGCCTGCGTCGAACCTGAGGCGCCTCCACTTCCTGTTCGCAGGGCTGGCGTGACATCACAGGCTTTTTGTAGCGGTCGTTGTGCTTCTGGCCGCCCTGTGCGGTGAGGTCGCATCAGGAGTCAGGCAGGACCGAGGAGGCGCGCTGCCCGATGTGACTGGGACACCCCGACAGTTCTCGCCGTTCCTGCAGCGTGTCCCTCCCCCGTCACAGGCCATCAACCACATGGCTGGGCAGCCTGTTCCACACTCCCACCACCCTTTGTGTAAAGAAGAGCCTCCTGTCCTGATTGGAGGATCTCATCCAGCCATCTCTTGTAAGACGCCTGGGTATCACCTTCAACAACATTATTGGGCATTTTGTTCCACACACCCACCACCCTTTGTGTAAAGAAGTGCCTCCCGCCCTCGGTTTTACACATGCTATCCCTTTCGCTTCCCAGTTATGTGGGGGAAACCGATACCCTTGTGTCCTTCAAGAATCATCTGGATGAGATTCTTGGATTAATTAGATTGTGATAACTTAATGAGCAAACGGAACTAGCAGACAAGTCACACCCCTCGTTTTCTGAAGTTCCGGTGTAGCTGTATCAGCTCCAGCATGGCCCTCTGCAAGTCCAGTGGCAGCAGCCCATCAATGCCGTCTACCAATCGCCTTGACCACCAGAGCGAGAGAGTGAGACACGCAGACTCTTAAGCCAGCCAGCTACAGGCACTCTTGGCCACCTCCTACGCCCACCACGATCCCTCCTTTTAGGTTTTCGACGGGACCAGGAAAGTGGACCAGGAGCTGGATGGAAGGCGAATGAAAAAGTGGAGGTTTCTGTCTGCTGAGTGAGGAGACATCTGCAGTCAGTCTCACCACGTTAACCATAGCAGATCAGAGTCTCTAAACGCACGACCCCACCAGCTGAAGGTAAACTGTAAATAAGCCAGTATTGTTATTCTAGCTATTAATCTCATTTCCCCATCAGATCTGATTGACTCACTGTCAGGTTCTCCTCAACATTAACATCTGCTGTTCCTCCACACGCCCACAGAGCTGAAGACCGGTTTGTGTACTGGAGCCCACAGATCTGTCAGCTCAGCGCAGACAGGCTGCAGTCTCAGTGGAAGATCAGCAGAGACTGGCATTTCTGTATAAAGAGGGGATCACTTAGTGCAGAGTGGCTGAGAGCACTACACAGCGGGGTATGGGTTGTGTTTTAATAAACCCTTTCATAAGACATTTTATTGTGCAGAATATACCTACCCCCCACCCCCTACTCCTCCAGAATGTACCAAGAATGAATCTTCTAATAAAAAGCCTGATTACATTGTACTGAAAAGGCTACCAAGCGGTAGGCAGTGTGATAGTTAATTGTACATTTCAAAAGCAGTAATTGCTCTAAATTCCCTGTAATTAATCTTTAATTGCTGTGAGCAGCACTGCACAGTGAGGTTATAAAAAGCAGAGTACTAAGCAGTGTGGGGAGCACTCTTAAAGTGCCGAATGCCAGAGAGACAGGTGGGGAGATGGATTGGAAAACGGTTTCCCCTGCTAATGATCTTCCAGGAGAGGGAAAAAGTGTCATTCCCACTGTGGGTGTGTCTGATCCAGTGTCATTCCCACTGGTGGGATACAATGTCACTCCCACTGTGGGTGTGTCTGATCCAGTGTCTGCTCATCGTCAGCTGATCACCTGTTAAGCCCCGTAGAGCAAGTGAGGGAACAAATTCTTTATTAACACGTTGAGGAGAGACTGCATAAAGTTCTGCAAAGTTAGGAAATAACAGGCTTTAGTGAAGTACTTTTAAGACCGAGTCCTAAGTGTAGAAAAGAGTCTAAAACAGCAAGCAGATCGGTTACAGGCACCAGTGAGTACTGGTGTTTACCTACTGGCAAAGGATGGCTTAGACTTTTGCTCAATTATATAGAATATCCCAGAATGCTTTGCGGTCAAAAATGCCACACACAAGAGCCAGAAGGAACTGAACCATGCAGACATGGGGATCCCCCAAACCCAGGACTGAGAAGCACTGTTCTGGGGGGTCCCAGACACGGGTAGAGGCATGGCACACAACCGCGTCGCTCTCTTTTCCCAAGTCCAGTCCGCAGCACCCCTGCTCAAATCCACACTCCATTTTTGGCTGGTGCTCCGCGCCAGCATCCTGCTTTTGCTGTAACGCGGCCTTCTCCGCTCGGCGTGCGCCGGGGACTCGAGGACGCGGCTCTTCTGGAGCGCGGCCAGGGAGCGCGGCCGCAGCGGGCAGCGCTGGGGTTGGCACGCGGGCCAGAGAAGGAGCTCTCCTTGGCACTGCCCATCGCTGCCGCTCGGCCAAAGGCTGCTCCTTCCCCGCGGATACCGGCTAATTGCATCAAAGGGGCTTCTCCGCCCATCTGCCACTCTGCGGCCTCGTCTCGGGAGAAGGAAGCCCACTCTGTGTCCTGTTTGTGGGACGGGGGGCTGGCAGGGCATGCGGGCTGCATTGTGCTGTTGTGGAATTACCAGAGCGGAGAAGAGCCAATTCCGAGTCCGGAGGCCCAGGGGACAGCCGGACAGCCGGACAGCATCACATCATTCCGATCCCATTCCGTCTAGTCTTGTGTTTCCCCGCTGGTGTAAAACAGGCGCTCCCAGTCTGGGTGCAGGACCCCCACACGCCTGCCAGTGTTCCAGTCCAGCTCTCAGGTACATGGCTGACTTAATAACTGTTTGACTGGGTTCTTCTCTTAAACACGCTGGACTGCGCCATCGCTATTGCATTTATAAAATCTCAAAGTTGTGAGTAGAACAAAAAAACGTTCACATTCCACTCAGGCAACTGGTTGGTTCGATGAAGCTTCAATTCAGTAAGTAACTGTGCTGGAATGAGAATCAGCAGGTGTGTGGGTCTCCAGGACCAGGACTGGTTTAAGGCACTGTATGTGCCCCTGCTTGCTCTCTATTGCAAATCGAGTCATGCCTGCAAATCGAGTATGCATGCGTGTGCAGGTGTGCATGTATGTGTAGTGCGTGTGCACACTTTTATGCTTTTGTGTTTGCATGTATGTGTATGTGTGTGCGTGTAAGTGTCTTTGCGTGTGTGCACATGCATGTGTTTGTGTGAATGTGCATATGTGTACATGAACCGGCATGTTTATGGGTGCATGCTTGTGTGTGTGCATGTGCATGTACATGCATGTGTATATGTGTATGTGCATGTCTGTGAATGGACATGCATGTGCATGTGCATGTTTGTGTGTGTATGTTTCCTTCTTGTGCATGTATGTGTGTGCATGCATCTGCATGTGTTTGTGTGAACATGCACGCGTGTACTGTATGTGTACAAGCATGCCTGTGTATATGTGTGTGAGTGTTCACGTGTGTTTACAGGCATGTGTTTGTGTGAACATGCATGCACGTGTGCGAGTACACGCACAGGTGAGTGTGTGCATGCCTGTGTGTTTGTGCAAGCGTGGGGGCACAGCGAGTCCACAAGCGTCCTGACACTGCAAGGTGCTTATCTGCAGCCGGTGGAGAGCCGTGTGGGCTCCTGTATGCAGGGAACCCCCTCCTGCCGGCTCGCTCTAATTGGAGAATCCCTCCCACTCACCCCGAGCGCCTCTGGAGCAGGAATCTCTTGGAGTAATTGGCTCTGGGCCCTGCTTAGTAACTCTTTCTGCCATTCTCCCACTCACACCCCCTCCCTTGCGCGCGTTCCTCGGATGGCCTTTAATTGGGCTATTATTTTATTTAGTTATTTATTTATATTTTCGCGGCCGATAAAACAAAACTTTCTTCTCTCTCTCGCTCCGTTTCATGTCCTCCCTCCCCAACATCCCCGATTTCACTGAAACGAGCTGATGCCTCACAGATCCCTATCAATTTGTATCACGCAGGGAATGCCCTGTAGGAACGATTCCTGCTTTATACATCATCCTCCAATTAATTCTTAAACTGATAAAACGAGAACGAAGCGAAGGAACAAGTTTTGAAACTAGGTCTTGATAAAGAATTATGTATATATATATGTGTGCTCTTGTTAAACTGACAAGATTATTCAGGCGACAGAGTCTGCATGTCTCTTGCTGTTCATTAAGAGGATTCCTAATGTGCATCTGAAATGCGCTGGATGTGCTCATCAGTATGTGGTCCAGTGCTCACCCCTAAAACGCTAAAGGAGCATTGACGTGCACCCCCCAATGTCAGCACTTCGAGCCCAGAGACACAGCCCTAGAGCCAGCGACTGTCAAGGCTCAACCAGAGTTCACAAAGAAAGTTAGGGAGAGATAACAGCAGCCATGTTCCATTTAACCTCAGGTGTCCAATCAGGAATCATTCATGATGGAATTTCCTATGGCCTTTTAACTCCTATGGCCTAAAAGGTGAGTCAAAATCCCATAGATGTCTCCTCAGCCCAGCACAGACACCCCATACTGA